AAAATCAAAGTACAAGTTTGGTACCCTCAAGGTATCTAGAGCATCTGTTCACGAGTGTGGAAACCAAAAATGAGCCTGATCTGACTTGTAAGACGGCGGCCAGAGCCCAAAATGTGAACAAGCCAAAGTGCTAATAATTTTTACTTTGACCTGACCTGTGACGTCATCGGTGACCTCGAGGTCAATGAAATTAGGTTTCGCTCGACAGTTTTTCCGGGGCTATCAGACGCCGTTTGAATTTTGACGATCGGCCCAGTAGTTTCGGAGTTAGGAGGGGGGGGCTATGAATAGCCCCCCCCCCCAGTAGGGCGTGTTATACACAGACCCCAGTGGGGCGCGGGTTAAATCCGAGTCGATGTGATCAGAATAAAAACAGGAGCAGCGGCGATCCACGGTGAACACACAGTGAAGAATTCACAATACAGCAGAGCTCATGGCTGACAGCTTCCGATAATAGTTCAACTCCACTTTTGTTCGGACTTCTTGTGTACGCCGGAGTGGGTCTTTGCCCGTCTCAACAATTCAATTCAATTACAGCAGCACGTGGTAGAAAAACGTCCACCAAGTGAAAACTAACGACGGCGCGACAGGCGTTCGCAGCATTTCGTCATTCACCTTCCGGTCTATGAATGGCGGCGACTTCTGAAGCGTGGCACCCGTCAATGGCAGGCTGCTGATGAATTCAGCTGCATGCTGTCAACAAGGTCTGGCTGATATCGATTGGCATACCGGTGGTAATAGTGGAGCGTAAATATACGGTCACTGGTGGCTGTAGCACTGTCTCAATGCGGGTCACTTGGCTGTAGCACTGCCTCCCTGTTGGTCACTGATGGCTGGAACGGAACTCTGTCTCACTGCGGGTCACTGATGGCTGGAACTGTCTCACTGCGGGTCACTGATGGCTGGAACCATGTCTCACTGTAGGTCACTGATAGTTTACGTGGGCTCGTTTCACACCCAACTACCCCGCCAGTCGGACCGTTTGTCGACAAACACGGCGCATCACGGACGATTTCAGGCGCCAATGCGGCGCGAGAGCACACTGATGTCATATCGCCCCGCTCTGAAATACGGCGTGACCCGCCGCGGCTGGTAGATTCGACACTGAACGAGCCGAGCCCCTGAGATATGCTCGGTTTACAAGTGCAATGTATATTTTTTTCTGGATGCTCTTATTCCTTTCAGCGATTTTTCTTTCAGCGAGAGCCGAGAACTGACTGAATCTAACGTCATCGTTATGTTAACTTATAACGGACCAGTCAGCCATGAAAATGCTCAGCAGCGCTTATGTCTGTATTCACGCCCCAAAGCAAAACAAGCCCGTCGAAGAGCTGCATTTCGGGCCGACGCTGGACAGCTTAATCAGCCGCCTGTGACCGGTCCCCTGCGTCCTGACAGCGGATTGTCGGCGCGCCGAGGCCCGTCAATTTGTCAGACCGGTTACACGGGGCCTGGGGACCGCCGCCAATTCGACCGCGACCGGCGAGCGTTCTGCCGCCGAAAAACTGACGGGAAGGTGGTCGGCCCGTCCGTTTTTATTCGCGAGAGGCGCCGGTCACGGGTCAAACCCTGCACGGTCGGAAAAACGGCGCGAGTCAAACCTCAACCGGGAGAGACTGGTGGCGGGACTTCCACACTGGTATAGGTTAGTTTCATTGAATATATTTCATTTGGGAAATATTGTAACTGGCGTGATTCAGCGTGCGCGGAACTTCTACTGCCTGGAAATATTGTCCGATGAGCCGGCCATCCGTTTCTGTTGAGGCTGTCCCAATACATCGGCTGCGAGACATAGTGCGTGTTTCAGCGCTAAGCTGTCCAAAGCTGCACTTTATGAGTTTCGCCGGCGATATTTATGCCGCTTCCTCTAATGCATTCGGGCGAATTAGTCAAACAGACGAGCGGCGATTGAGTGGGAACAGTTTGATGGAGCGCTCCAATCACATGGTTAGGACCGGAGGCAGATGTCAAAATCGCGAGCAGAACACATCCCGGCGATGGAAATACAGCGGTGGGCTATATCCTCCGCCAAGCCGCGGCCCACGCCGCCTTACAGTTGTTTTGTTAATTTAATCCGCTATCTCGTAAGAATTTCCACGATCTCGTTCCTTCTGGAACACCTTGGTTGGTTCATTTGAAGTCATTCTATTTCCATTATTCATCGGTCTATAAAAATGTGAAGCTTTATTTTTGTAAATTTTGTCGGTATCAGTTACCATACCGCTATTGTTCTGGAACAAAAAGGCCTCCTCTCGTTGTTTTTCCACAACATGCTTAGTGAGACAATTAATGAATGCATGACAGGATCGTTTGCTTCTTTATATGAGGCAAAGAATCAGCCTCAGTGTATGATGTACTGCACCCGTCGACCATTTGTCTGGCCAGCTTATCTTTTTGCTCGATGAGTCTCACTAACAAGCGCAATAAGTCGTTGGTGCTTAGTCAGCTGTGAAGCTGAACAGGCAGCGTTCTCAGCCACACTAGGAAACCACCAACCTTCCTTGCTGCCGTCTGGACCGTTGACAACCCAAACAGCCGACCTTCCCCCCCCCGATAGCCCCCTCCCCCCCCCGACACTGACCGGCCGCCGGGCCCTGACTGAGACGTCTAATCTCTCGTTCGATGTGGATTGATCACCCGCGGCCCTGCCTGGCGTGCCTGAACACGGTCGAAATTTATCGCCTCGGGCGATCGCCAGACGATCAGACTGGACACCATGAGCTATTCGAGCTCCTATCGAATACGTCCCCGGAACGCTACGATTACTTCCCTTGTGAACTGGTGTTGTTCTTACGACTTCTTTTTCCACTCATCGGCTCACGCATCTTGGTCAGCTCTACACACAGTTGTGATGACCGCTCGATTTGCGGTGGTGTTTTGAGAGGTTGGGCCGAATCTCGTCCCGTCCACCGATCTATCCACCGGCCCACCTTGCAGGTCGGCCCTGTAGGTCCGCCCGGGCCGTCCACCGTCCGTCCGCCGCCCCGTCCACCGCCTGCCAGGTCCGCCCTGGCCGTCCACCGCCCTGCAGGTCAGCTCCGTCCGTCCACCGCCCTGCAGGCCCGCCCCGGCCGCCCACCGCCCGTCCACCGCCCTGCAGTGCCGCCCCGTCCGTCCGCCACCCGGCCGCCCACCGCCCATCCACCGCCCGGCAGGTCTGTCCGGGCCGTCCACCGCCCCATCCACCGCCCTGCAGTGCCGCCCCGTCCACCGCCCGTCCACCGCCTGGCAGGCCCGCCCCCGCCGTCCACCGCCCTGCAGTTCCGCCCCGGCCGTCCACCGCCCTGTCCGCCGCCCCGTCCACCGCCCGGCAGGTCTGCCCCAGCCGTCCGCCGCCCGTCGATCAGCGGGCGGCGTCTGATTGGACCCGTGCGGGCCGACCGCGTTTCGTTGGCACCCGACACACGCCGGCGGACGTACCGGAGCGGTTTTTCGGACGCTGTTTATCGCGCCTTTATCGCGCAATGAGCACCCCTGAGGAGCGCCAGCGCGCCACTCCCGGAGCGCGCGCCGGCCCCGTGCATTTTGTCACGTGCGCCCCCCCCCCCCCTCCCGGCGCGTGGTGCCAATTCTGGGACGACCGCGATAGGAAGGCACGCAGAAAACTCTTTTTTGTAGCTGGAATGGGAACAAAATGTCAGAGAAAAGGTAAGTGGAATGGCAGGTAGCCTGTGTTTAGAGAGACCAGGAGCTCAATTATGCAAATCATCAATCCGAATAGACGATTTTGGATGTGGGTCATTCTGGCGGGATCTATTTTGTTCTGGCTTTATTCACTAAGTTAGTAAAAATAGTTTACTTTATTGACTTTCTCCTCCATTTTTAACGATGCATCATATTACTCATTCATGTCATAGGTATGTGTTACGTTGAATTTTAATGTTAAAATGTTTTGAATCTCTGGAAGTCGCAAAATGAAAAGCTATCAGTTATCACCTAACTTATATTTTAGTGTTGAGGCACCCTCGCATCTTATGAAATATTATTCCAAGAGCTAATAAATTGCTCACAAGTCACAACCTTGATTTCATTGCCGACGAACCCAATAAATACTAACTACACTAAATGGATTATAAACGTCTACTGAAACGTGCAACCAACAGGTATGCAGTAATAACCAGCCAAAGCACGCCGTCAAAACTACAGTTAACAGTGCCCATGATATTTTGAAATCGATAATTCACAATTACATACAATCCGCGCCGTTTTCACGACGGTTTATCTGGCGAATGCACCAAACTTGACCCAACCTGCACGAGCTCTCTTTTACAACAAATATCTTCTTATCATTAATTCATTTCAGTGTTGTAACCGAAAATAATGTCTGATATGCACCAAATCTGCACCAAATGACACTACTGAAGACGATGTGACGATGGAAAATGGCAATTACGCAGGCGAATTGCACTTGCAACTTGCAGAATACGAGTATAATGATGTCTTTCTAAGCCTCGCCGTGTTCGGTCCCAGCTCGTTTACTGTAGCCGTCAACAAGTCCCCTATCCCGCTGGTGGCATGCAGTTGATGGCCGATAAATTTCCACCAGACGCCGGAGTCCCCCCCCCCCGGCCCCCCGGTATCTACACCCCGTCACCTCCTCCCCTCCACGGCTCTGTCGGTGTCACGGACTGAAATTTACAGCAGCTGAGGGAGCACCGCCATGTAGGGCTGCTGGGACAAAATGAATGTCAACTCCTAACCTCCATAGTCCCCCAACCCTTTCCCGCTCAATTCTGGTAAGTATACCTTTTTTAGCTGCGTGAATATTCTTCTAGTTTTTTTTTTCTCAAGCACCTGTTTCAACTTTCATGATTATAAACGTACACGCTCGGAATGTTATACATATATATAGTTAGTGCGTTTGATGTTCGTGACCGAATCGGAAGGTAGCTGATCTCTGCACTGCCCCGGCTTTTGTGACTTGCTGGATTTCTCCAGTTGGTTTGATTTTCTCCTTGAATGCCTGGTAAATAAGAGATCAGTATCGATTGTTCATTTAACCATGAATAATCAACGAATCGCCTATCGGGATTATACGGATATCACCAGTCACGAATTTCACGTAAACTGACTCAGCTCAACTCAATCACGACTCTTTTCTAGTTTGCTAACCAGATTTGAAACCTTATCTGATCAATATATTACCGTAGGTGCGAATAAATGGCACGGATCTTCGTTAGCCAAAGCATTTGCGGTCTTTCGCGCACTCCTCGATTTTCATTGCAGTCAGTCAGCTGTGCAGGTGAGTTTCCCGCTCTGGCCGCCAGGGGCGCTGTCGGCGGGAGAGCTCTGTGAGCCGACGTCGGTCCCACGTTAGTACTGGACGGGGTGCGGTGGAGGTCCGTCTCCCATGTGCCGCCTGAGAGTGACGGGACCTGGTGATGGTCAGAGAGGTCCACAGAGGTGCGCTGAGGCTGGAGCCGTGTGCTAGGACAGAGGAGGGTCGATTTATGACCGAGGACCTGCGAGGAGACCCCGACACCTGTGCGTGGGAAACAACTCCACACAGTGTCAGTGATATTGCGAACGGGTGGTGATATACGGTGCCGTCCACCGATCCGATACAGGGTGTGGAATATCTGTGGAGTCGTAGCATCGAGAATCAAGAGTCGAGAAGGTAATGTCGAAACGGATTCAAGAAGAAACGCTTGACTCCAGTTCAAAAATTTCATAAAACGGCAATTCAATAAGCAATGCGAGACATAACAACCAAATGGGGCACCGGATAGGGGAATTTCCGTGCTCCTCTGCTGATTTGGTGGGCATTGGACCTCGGTGCTCAGTACCGAAGTACCGCTCACACCTTTTTGCTCTCGTGCTGCCTCTCGGGGTCTCGGCATGACCAATCGCCAATGGCTCGGTCTGTACTTACTTCAGTTAAACGCTCCTTAAACAGCTCCCGGACGTCCATGGCGCACTTCCGTTGACGTTTCATCTGCTATCCGCGGTGATCCCACAACTTCGGTGGACCTCCGACCAAACGCGTGCGAACGCGGCTGTCTGCAAGGGCGCAGAACTAGCTGTATGGGCACAGAGCTGTCCGTATGGGCACAGAGCCGTCTGCGACTCCGTATGGTCACAGAGCTGTCCGTATGGACACAAATATATCCTTATTGACGCAGAGATGTCCGTAAGGGTGCAGAGCTGCCATGATGGGCGCAGGGCTGCCTGTACGGGTGTAGAACTGCCATTGTATTGGCGCATTCCAATGATTTTTTTTTTTTTATAGATAACCTGCCGATCTTGCTTGATTAACCCTCGCCCTGGCAGGGGGGGTGGATGCGACCCCCCTAAGGTTTTTCAAAGATAGCGTAAAAACGGCGGCGCGCAGCGCCGCCAAATTTGGCACAGCCTATGGGGCAGCCTTTTTACATATAACCTGAAAATTTCAGGTCCGGGTGACCTTGGGTCAGGTCACCAGGTCAGAAAAACCGGTACAAGGTCATGGTCAAATTTCAATTTTCTTTTTGCACCTGTCCAACTCACAGTTTTGGACTGATTTCCTTCAAACTTTCAGGATGTGCTAAGTTCACCGAGTTGTATATCATATAGTTCGGGTTTTTGATGTCACTGACCTGAGGTCAGTTAGAGGTCATTACGTCGAAATGTTAAGCCTATGGGAAAATACTAAATTCGGAAAATACTGGAGATATCCGATTCGTTCTATCACTTTTGTGCTTTGAAACCACAGTACTTAACAACAGGTCACTTGGTGCTTATTTGTTTGGTGTACCTACTTATCCATGGGTCAGGTCAAATGAGGTCAACTGAGGTCAAATGACGTTTTTGCCAATAACTTGGCACATAATAACAGTAGAGCTTAAAAAATGGTGTCATTGTGTTCCTGGTGATCAGTCAAATATAATGAGATGCGATATGATGCAATTTGGTTAACTTGAACTTAATTAATTAATTAAAGTTTACTTAAAAATTAAGAAAAACTTCAGGTACACTTAAGCAAGCAAAAAGTACATCATTCGACGCGCCTTGACGTGGTGAGTTCACTGTTCACTGGTGTTTTTCTTTTTTCTCTATCCTTATTAGATCAAAAGTTATAAGCGAAAAACTTTTGACCTGTTTTTAGCGATTTTTTTACATTTATACCCCCCAAAACCCCCTAAATATTGACCTAGAGCAACCAAATTTGCACAGGGGCGAGAACTCCAGGGGGTTCACCTACCTACCAAATTTGGTGTTTCTAGGTGCCATGGAGCCAATCGCGAGGGGGGTCGCATCGACCCCCCCCCCCCTGCCAGGCCGTGTTATAAAAAATGCCCTGCCAGGGCGAGGGTTAAGCTGCATTCGCTACTAAGTCCCGAAAACTCCTACTATATAGTGAACATTATCCCAAAATACCAATGTTATTCGTGATAAGCTATATTTGAATTATATAATTATATTTTGACTTTCAATATTTGAATGACGTTTCATTCAGTATACAGTCTATGTGCCCTTAACAATGTCAAATTACGGCAAATATGTTGAAACCACCTGAACCATAATCTTTAGTTAGGCGATAAACAGAAACATATTATTTGTTTCGAAAATGGGTATTAAACGTATCTGGTACTGATTGGTGATTGCACCCTTCTGCAGTTAGGCTTTGCCATGGTTTCATTAAAATTTTGGATACTTAAATTCAACCATCACACCTTTTTTCTAGCTAATCTACATAAAAAGTTTCATTTGAGATGTGTCACAGGTCACCACAGATAATAATTATCTAAAGAGACTATCATCATGGCCATGGGCAATTCTAATATTTTTAGAGCAGATAATATACTGTTAAGAATGATGGATATAGATCAGTGGTAATAATCAATGTTATTACACAATTAGTTCACTTATTTCCTCATTTAATGATTCCTAATTGAAGTACTGCTCTAATGAGCCCTAGATAAATTTACCGTCATCGCCGCATTATTTAGATTTATTACAGAGAATGCAGGCAAATTGAGCGCTAGATCTCCAATTGAAGCATGCATTAGGCTACGTGAAATAATAAGGGGATCATTTTTCACTTTGATCATACTCTTAATTAGATGTAAAGGGCAGAAGGCGACCCTTCGTGCGAATAGGACTATCAAGTAGGTACGAAAAGTCACCATCACTTACCAATAACGTTGTATTTCGAGTTAACACCACGACTAAACTCCTACAGCCTTTCTTGCAGCTGCACTGGTGAGCTGCAGGTCGGGAAGGAGCCAGCTTATTCAGACGTCTTATTAGCAGCTTTGTTGAGGTTTTTAATTTTCGCAATAACTTTTAATGTTGTCCCTGTAAGATAAGATTGATAATGTAGCTGGGGCCTGAACATAATCGCACTGACAAGTCACAAATGTAACACAAAAGCAAGCAAGACATTGAACATGCCACTGAGTAGGTAGTTACATGGTTAAGATAAAGGCGTAGAGGCCGTAATCGTTTGTATTATTTTAACAAGTGTTTCGACCTGAATGGCGCGTCCTACGTGCAGAAAGTGAGTGAATGTTTAACAGGTGTTTATTCCATTTTGTTTGAGTGAAATTGGGTGAATCTAAATGTCGAAGAATCCTAGAGGCAATTTATCGAACTGATTGATGCTACCCTATTCCTGGCGGGCTCCGCCGGGACAAGAAACTGGCGGGGGGGGGGGGGGCCGATTCGGCCCCCCCCCTGAGATCTCGAGAACGAAGCAAGATAGCGACAAGCGGTAAACGGCATCGGATACGCACGGTCAAGATCTACAATTTTTACAAAGGTCATTTTCAGGTCAGGTCAAAGATGACGTCACAGGGGTCGAAAAAGTCAAAATGGCGGCGCTAGATATGGAGAGAGTTTTTCTCGAATAACTTTCGAATTAGTCAAGATAGGAACAAACTAAGGGCATCATCGTGATCCTCTCGTCAATCCGCATCGAATGATATATATGTTGACCTCGAAAGGTCAAGGTCAAAGGTTGACCTCAGGTCACGTGACCTCGAGGTCATCATGTATATCATTCGATGCGTCTTGACGAGCTGAACACAATGAGACCATCCACGCGTCTGTATCTTGTTCCTGTACGGAGTTATTGGCCAAAAACCTTTGGTGACCTTTGATGACGTCACATGACCTCACAGCTGCCCAACAGCAAAACAAACCTCAAGGTAGTGAAGGTTGATCGTATATGAAGTCATGTATGGTATATGGGGCCATTCCGACCCGTTTTAGTGGTAAAAAGAGGGAGTTGATTTTTCCCCCATTGACGAGGTCGCGAAACTGACCTGACCTTAGGTCACCGATATCAAAATTCCGAGATATACAAATTGCACATACTGGTATCCTAACTAAAGCCTGAAGAGAAGAAATTGATCGGTCAAAAACTCTAGCTCTGGCGTGATTGCAAACTTTTCTGAGGTAGGGTCACCAAACCGCCTCTGGTGACCTGACCTGAGGTCAGATCAACTCAAAATTTTCAGACATGTTGCGTAGAAGCCTTTTAGGAAAAGTCAGAAAATTTGAGCTTCCTAGCTCAACGCGTTTGGGAGAAATAACCAAAAAACCTCAGGGGGGGGGGGCTCCTGAGCCCTATTCCCCCGCCAGGAATAGGGTTAAGAGTTCGTCACCAAATAACTGCACGCTAACTGAAACAAGACACTTCCGGCTTTTGTGGATCAAACATTCTCTGCTTTTGTAATGAAAAATCTTGGCGACATGATTGAGAGCTCCTCGTTGGATTGCATTTAGTGATCATATCGTCATCAGTCACGGCCGCCCAACTAGTTCACCCAGCCTGCTGACGCCGAACATAACTCGGGCACCGAATCGCGTCCGGTTTAAAAGTCGCATTTGTTGCCGTCGTCCGTCACAGGCCAGTGGGTTGGGTTCGGCCGCCCGGTTACCAACTGGGCCCGGCTCTCGGACCATTATTGGTACACCGCGCACAGCACGGGCAACGGGCACTGGACAGGCGGGCAGTCTCCGCCCGCATGTACTGTGTAATGTTTTGTACAGAAGGTCTACAAAATAAGTCCTCTCCGTATGCGGGCAGTTGGCGCCTGAGTAGCGCTCAGGCGCTAACTGCCCACTGGTGACCCGCTTACGGCGGGGACTTATTTTGTAGACCTTCTGTACAGAAGGCTACCATACTCCAGTCGGAAGTGCAGGGGCTTACATTATTAACGGCTTATGTAATTAAATTATGAGCTTACACATCATACCTACAAAACAGATCGCACCATTCGGTGTTCAATCTCTGTATAAATACACTGTAAAAAAGTATGGCACCCATGTCAAAAACCAGCTCTCCCTGTCCCTGTACCGGCTTATTTTAAGAAGGCTAAATGGTTGCTGAGGTTAAGCACCCGTGTCGAAAAATAGCTCCCTGTACCGGCTTATTTTATGCACCCTAAATTGGTGCAACCATTTAGGGTGCCTAAATTAATTTTTGAATTGGTGTTATTTTTTTACAGTGTATGTAAGTACAGTCGTCCACTTCTCGGGACATGTGCAGTCTGCATACCCCGACCCAATGACTTTTCTCGCGGTTCACGGCTCCCTGGCCCGCCGTGCCGCCGTGGCCACTGGTCAGTAATGCATCATCGTCTGTTAGTGGGTGTCGGCCATTCAATACATCATCGCCGGCAGTCTCCGCCCGTTCCGTACCCCGCTCCACCTGCTAATCGTGCCGGTCATCTCCGGAGTACCCTGGTCACTCCGAGGCAGCTGCTGAATATCGCAGAGACATCATGGTCATATGCCAAACCATGCATCCGCCCGCTTATGTCATGCCTGTTTTGTGATGCGATCAACAGCATCGAATCGGATGTTGGACAACTTTTCTGGACCCGCTCGTCCATTCCATTCACATGCCGACTGGCAGGATAGAAGTGAAGATAAGCGGTCACCTGAACAACAGGTTTTGGAATGGTAAGCGACAGGCGGATACTTTATTGCTTGTAACGGTCTCTGTTCCACAAGTCTGAAGTCCAGGCTGTTTCCGTTTATTTATTACACTTTTCCACTGGCTGACCACCTCAATTCTGCATCTACCCCGAATGGTACCCTATCGTCGACAGAACCCTCTCCCCGTCATCCACTATTCATGCCACCCCCGCCATACGCCGTCCAAATTGCAGTGAGTGTTGAACCACCGTCTCGATAGTTCCGGCCCGGTGCCTAGTCCTACATTTGTGTCAGCGCATCGGTGGGCCGATCGTCCTGCCTGAAGTTGACAATTTACGGGTGACGGAGACAGGTGGAGAGGGTCGTCCACGTCGGCAGACCAGACCAAACCAGACCAGACCAGACCTATGCATAGCTGGCGGCTGAGGGGCTCCGGTCCAGAGCGCTGGCCAGTCGGAGTTACCCTTTTCAACAATAGGAACTTCTCTGCACAACTTCTGTTACGCGGCGTTTCCGATTAATGTATTGATATTTCGATGTGATGATGCGATGTTGAGTTTGATTGGCATGTCGTGGTTTCCTTCCTGTTTCCTTTGGTTCTCTTCCTGTTTTCTTTGTTCTGCATCATCGCCGCCGCGTAACGCCTCTCACGCTCGCCCGTCAGTTTGTCGGCAGATCATTAAGCAGTTTAGATTCCCAAAGCCCAAAATGCATAAAAGCAACAAGCTGTCGTGACTGACTAATTTTGTTAAAGTCTGAATTGTGTCAATTTGCACTCTCATATCTCGGTAAACGTTCAGTGCCTACGCATCATAGGTAAATTAAACCAAACAAAGCGCACCAATAATGCCAGGAAAACTCAATAGCCCCATTTACTGTTCAGCTACAAGCACGTTACGGAACTGTGAAGACAGAGGGAGGGAGAGAGAGGGAGAGTGAAAGAGAGAGAATAAGAGTGAGTGAGTGAGTGAGTGAGAGAGAGAGAGAGAGAGAGAGAGAGGGAGAGAGGGAGAGAGAGAGAGAGGGAGAGAGAGAGAGGGAGGGAGAGAGAGAGAGAGAGAGAGAGAGAGAGAGGGAGAGAGAGAGAGGAGGCTGTTTAGTTTCGACAACTATCGATTCGGCGTTCATGCCATAAAACGGCTAGCGGACACGACGAGTGATCACGGCCACACTTGTCCAAGTACCGGTTTCCTCTCGAAACTTGTCGACTTTGGTGACCTGATGAGACTTTGTTAGACGCGCGGAGAGAACAGGCTAAAGGCAAGTTACTAATTCGTTCGTTCCGAGCTAAAGTTGTATCGGTCAAGTACGTGTGGTGACACTTGTCAATTCTGTACTGGGTGGAACGAGACAACAATCACAATAAAATGACGCCTCGCCGGTCCTGCGGCGCGCGCGGCTCGGCGCGGCTGTAAAACGATTACCGATTTGGATTGTTACCAAGCGATGAGTGCAGTGGCACCTGCACACTGTCGGTCGGCTGTACTGAGAGCCGTGCTATTCTCTCTGGGATTGCGTATCGATTTCACTGTTCAGCGTCATAAACGAGCAGCTGGTGATGCTGTGCGACTGGTGGACACGCCCGGGCAATACAGGCCCACTCAGAGCGGTCATAAACAATATCGATCAAGGGTAGTTCATCTGACTTTTTGGCAAGTGTTTAATGGTCGGGATGGGCAGCTAGCATCATTATCTCTGGGCTTCCGCAACTGACATTATTACATTCATGCACCTCTCGTTCATTATCCAGGTCATCCTGGAAGCAGCCTATAGCCCAAAATTGACTACAGAGTGGGCCTACTCTGAAGGCAATTAGGAGCTTCCGTGATGAGCTAGTAATAACCACATTCACACAGCAACCATACTTCGGAAGTGGATCCCAGAAATTAGTAGCCCCCTCCATGCGGCTAATCATGGCACCACCATACAGCCCCGTTACATGCGATACCCTTTGTCGTGACCTATTGCGGGTCACGGAACTCTAACCACCTCGGGAGTACGCCCGGAACATCTTCAATACCTCGGGAATCGCCCGGAATATCTTGCCACCTCGGGAGTACGCCCGGAACATCTGTAACACCTCGGGAATCGCCCGGAATATCTTACCACCTCGGGAGCACGCCCGGAACACCTGTAACACCTCGGGAATCGCCCGGAATATCTTGCCACCTCGGGAGTACGCCCGGAACATCTGTAACACTTCGGGAATCGCCCGGAATATCTTACCACCTCGGGAGTACGCCCGGAACACCTGTAACACCTCGGGAATCGCCCGGAATATCTTACCACCTCGGGAGTACGCCCGGAACATCTTTAACACCTCGGGAATCGCCCGGAATAACCTTACCACCTCGGGAGTACGCCCGGAACATCTGTAACACCTCGGGAATCGCCCGGAATATCTTACCACCTCGGGAGTACGCCCGGAACATCTGTAACACCTCGGGAATCGCCCGGAATAACCACCACGAAATTCACCCGGATATCAAACAACGGCGTCAACGTAAAGCATCACCCCTCATCTGGGCGAGCGAATCAGACACGCACACTGCGCCGCCGCTTCTCACCAGGGGCGGCGCAGGGAATCGAACAACGACGCCTGCCCGTCTCGCCGCCGTATTACGACGGTGCGGGCCCAA